ATCCAGGCTGATTTACAATCCCTACCTTTCATCTCTCCCACTGCAAAGCCTCCCTTTTCCCCATCTCCACCCCAAACTAGCAGTATGTGTTGCGTTCCAAACACCCATTTACTTCTTCAGCATATTTTCTGAGTCCTCGGCAAAGAGACATGAGATTAAAAAGGGGCTTTATTCTGGCGATAAATAGAGGTACATTTATATCTACATTTCACTTAGATCGTCACTAATCTGTATCTTTGAATGCACTGACTTAATAGGGGAAAGAACATAAGTTAAAGCAGGATAAAGATGACCATAAACTGGGAGTCAGGTGTCTGGACTCAAATTCCAACCAGCAACGTTCAATACTATCTCAGGCTCCCCTGAGATTCATTTTGTAGCCCTTAAAATAGATGATTTAAATATATTATCTCTGAGGTTTCTGCTAGTTCTGACATCTGTGATGTTCAGATACAAATTTTCCTTTGATAATGCCTCAGATAATTAATTCACTAACTGCACTGATTTCCCTGGAGCAACTTCACACACAGCTACACCCTTTCTTGGAGGCTTTCTCCCCCATAATGCAACTGTTGGACGTTTGAGTCATCCTCATGCAAAGTGAAATACATAATTAAGGAGAGAAAAAATATTCTGAGATTACATTTTAATCAGTCATACATTCTGCCTATTTTGTACAGGATATAATTGAAGTTCGTATTAATGCGGCTACTCTCTAAGGAGGGAGGGTGAACAGGATCCCCCTTCTCCATCAGGGGCCCGTTCTTCCCTCCGTTCTCTGGAGCCCTAGACTAGTCTTGAGTTACACAGCTGTGTAACAGGTATTTTCTTCTACGTTTAATCCATCCAGAGTTCAGGCAAAGGCTAGAGAAGATGGGGGAGGTGGGTAAGTACATATCCCCACAACCATACCAGCACTTTAATTTCAAACTTCTGGCCTCCAGAACTGTGAGACAATGCATTTCTGTTGTTCTAAACCACCCAGTTTGTGGTACTTTGTTACAAGAGGCCTAGGAAATTAATACAAGCTGTAACATAGGTGTATGGTGTGGGGAGCATGGTTTTTTTTAATATCCATTTCAGGAAATGTATCAGTGCCATCCCTGGCTTATACATTTGTACTGCCTATGCTGCTGTTTGGGTTAGAACACGTGCCAGTATCTTTTTCTACTGGTTATGAGGCATCTAATTTCAAATATGGGGCTTTGTCACTGTGTAATTAACCTCACTAATACACAGTTCCCTGATAATAGTAGTACTTGATCTAGCATGCCACAGGGCTTATTTGTGAGGATCAAATGGGATAACGTAAGTGAAAAACAATATAAAGGCACAGGATTTTGTGTGGAGGTTGAGACTTCTGCAGCCAGGTTGAATGAGTTCAAATTCTATGTCTCCCTTTACCAATTTCATAACCGAACTATGGACTCAGTTCCATCTATTTTGAAGTGAGAGTTGTACAATACTACCTGTGTCTTCAAGTTGTCATGAAGAGCAAATAAATTAATACATACAATCTTAGAAGACTATCCAGCAAAAAGAAAATAATCAATAAATGGTCACTTGCAAACTAACGAACCATACAAATGTTAGATCATTGTCATTTATAGTCAGCAAACAGCTATTGACGAATGCATTTACACATCAATAACCCTGACTTTCTAGGTCAACATGCATTTCAGCAGCAGAATTTTGAAAAGCTAAGAAGAGTTAAAGCGGAACCATCACAGATGAGGTCTGATACCCAGCGGATCAGGTCTGCCCAGCAGATCAGAAGACCCTTGGAACTAGAGACAACTTCTGGTTTTCATAAGTCTTTTCATTTCCTTGTGTTAAGATATTTTAGAGCCAAACTTTTTGTTGAGCATGGTACTAACCACTCTAACACGTAAATAAAAAGCAAAAGATTTAAGCAGATTTGACTTGGACTTGCAGAAATGGGAATTGTTTTTTTTAAAAAACTGCTTTTAAAAGTTTCTCATGAAATCTTTGCATATATTTGAATTGAGATATATTGTCTACGCATCACTTCCCTTATCTGACTGTACATGAAGAACAGACAGCCACTTTCTCACCTTGCTGTATACCTCAAGGTGAGTTTTAGGGCACAAACAAAAGACTACCATTGAAAAACACCACTTGCTTCATGTGTGTCTGGCTTTATAGAGGAGAAAGTAGTATCTTACTAAAATACCTTCTACTGGTTTACTCAGAAGAAATAGAAACAGTTGAGACTTTTAAGAAATGGATTATATTGTCACATCTATTCAACTGCATAAACTTACCCCGGAAGTATGTATTTGGAAGACAGATTGTCTCAGAGCTGTGGATAAGTTATAGCCTTCAGAACTGTGGTGTGTTTGGTGTGCAGCCCACATGATATTAACCTCTGCAAAACACATAATTTGAAATGAGCCATGAAAGTAAGAACAAAGCAACTTCCATTTTCAGTTATGTATGCTGCTCTGCTAAGTGAGGAGGAAAAATTTGGAACATCTTTGAAAAAGCTAGCAATATAATTATAATTGAAATAAGCTGCCTCAAATCATTTTTGAAAGCAGAGATGGTATAAATTACAAACAAATAAATAAATTGAAACAAAGCCAATAAATATGTATAGTGTATACGATATAATTAAATGCCTCCAGCAAACTGAAATGACTTCCAAAATTTATTCTTTGCTAACATATTAAAATATGACAGATCATAAAAGCTAATCGGTAATGTAACAATACAGTCAATGCAGAGAGATATGTTTTCAGTATGTGATAACACATTTCTAATTAAAGAAAAATATTCTGATGGGAGAAAATGGTGTATAAATTTTGGAATGAAATATTACATAATATTCTTCTCTAATGGCTTTTTAAGAAGTCTCGAAATCCATCTATTGGAATCAGAGGCAAAGAAGAATAATATTTAAGGTTTCACTTTCATTTATAAAAATACATTAATAACTAATAGTTATATATATTTCTTCCCATATCTTACCAAAACACTACACCATTTCTAAAATTGTCCCACACAATTCCTATTTGTCCTCATAATAAAATATAAAGTGTAAATTTTTAATTTTTATTGAACATTATGCAAATTGCCCTCACACTGTCTTGCAATTCATATATACTCAAAGGATGGTTGCTTGTACTTTCAACAGCAAATGTGTCACTAAAATGACCCCTTAAGTACATGGAATGTATGAAAACAAGCCCACATTTTTCATTGTGCCCTCATTTTTCATTTCCTATCAGAACTACTAAGGTTTTTGCAGTTGTCATATACTCATAGTTAAAATACATGGCACATGGCAGAATCATTTGAGATTTTTTAAATGAAAGGAATGAATATATGGAGAGATAAGAAAGAAAGAAAGAAAGAAAGAAAGAAAGAAAGAAAGAAAGAAAGAAAGAAAGAAAGAAAGAAAGAAAGAAAGAAAGAAAGAAAGAAAGAAAGAAAGAAAGAAGGAAGGAAGGAAGGAAGAGAAAGAAAGAAAAAGAAAGAAAGGAAGAAAGAGAAAGAAAGAAGGAAAGAGAAAGAGAGAAGGAAAGAAAGAGGAAGGAAGGAAGGAAGGAAGGAAGGAAGGGAGGAAGGAAGGAAGGAGGAAGGAAATATAGTCAGTCTGAATGTATTTCTTCTTGGCCTTTCACTTAAGAAGTGAAAGCTCTATGGACAATTTACATAGGAAGATATCAAACAAAACTCGCAAAAGAGTTTTGGTCAACAAATGAGATATAAAAAAAGACTTAATTCTGAGAGAATGAGAAGATTATGAAAAGGATTATGAATAGACAGCCCTACCAGAAGTCATTTCTATTAAAGTCATATATTATCAAGCAGGGCAAGTATTTTCACAAACCATTAGCTTATATCTAACTTAAAATCTGTTTGGTTGACATTTTAATCATTTTAATTGTTCCTTGTAATGACCCTGTATTTCTACCTAAACAATTAAGGAAATTGTTCCCACAGAAATGAGAACTACTTCATCATACCCACCTCTCACTTTCCAGGCATAATCCTTGAGATAACCTAGAACCTACGTCTCTGGTTTACTGACTAGCCTGCATAGCTGTAAATGAGAGATATACAAAGAATGCCATGGCCCCTGATAGCTATAAATGTTGTGTGGAAGTTTATTAAGAGGTATTAAATTTGACCACGCTCCTAAATCTTTTAAAACCTCTTACAGATTGAACCCTTGAAGTAATCTAAACATCATTATCTCTGTAGAACATACCCATTATTGAAAATTTCAGAACCTATCACATATAAACTTCATTTCAAATAAAACCAATGTTCATTTTGATTGACTTTTCAGGATTTCTTTTTAAAACTTTATCATAATGTATCCATGTTATGAGTTCAAAAGCAGATGAGCTAATCAGATGGGGTTTAATTAGAGGGTAATAGCATGTATTGGAACAACCTCCTTATAACCTCCACAGAAGCTAAGGGTGGAACAAAGAACCTATGAAGGTGGAGGTTAAAGACCTGTCTCTTTAGTTGTTTTAAAAGCATTTACTTCCTATCACAAACTGTGTGTAACACAAGCCTTCATTCAATGAAGTACAGCTGTGTAAACAGGGTACAGCAACTGGATTCTACTGCCTTACCTCTGTCACTTTTCAGAACTGAGGAAAACAAGAAGAAATACAAGATTTTTTTTTATGTGTATATTCAGTTTATGTGTGGTTATAAAACAGCATTTTATAGAAAATTGCTCTAATTTTTTTAGTAAATGAGAAAAATTTAATAGTACATTTACAAAATGTTTGTCTTCCTTAATACTTGAATTGATGAATTTTCTGTTCTAAGGAATAAAAAGAAAATATTAAAGAGAAAAAATATTATCACAATAAACTTATTTCTATGAGGAAATTAATTATCATCATTAATAATTTTATTTTTCCATAAGAAAATTATTAATTATATAAGCATGTTATGTTATTATGGCTTTTCAATGATATTAGGAAAAAATTATGCTACTTTACAGTGCCAAAATGTAGATTTCTTTAAATATATTTTATCAATACATTGACCGATTATTCAATTTATTTATCCAAAATTTAATGTGATGTGTGAGTTTGTGTGTATGTTATATTCTTGAGTCTGTTTCCTTGTTTCCCTTTTTTAAAAATTAAGGTACAACTTACATACGATTAAATCCATCCCTTTTAGTATTCAATTGTATGAGTTTTTACCAAATACAGCTGTGCAATCCCTATCACAATCAAGATATGGAAGAGTTTTGATCATCCCCAAAATTCTCTGTTCCACTTTGCTTATGGCAAGCCAACACTAACATAGCTCCCTGATTCAGAGGATGAGATTCTGGACTTCGAACTGATAATGTAATGGGATGAAACTCTTGGGACCTTGAGAGAATTAAGAATGTTTTGAATGTGAGAGAAATAAGAATTAATGGGATCCAAAGGGCTTCCCATGGGAGGCAGCCTCTAAGATGGCCCCCAGTGATTCTTGCCTACTGGTGTCCAACCCCTTGTATAACCCCTCCCCTTGTGTGTGGGCTGGATTTAATTACTCCTTTCTAGTAAATTTAATTTTGACAAAGGTGATAGGATGTCTGATACTAGATTATAAAAAGACTGTGGCTTATGTCTTGTGTGCCTTCTCTGATACTCTCACATGCTCTGTCTAAGGAAATTCAGCTGCCATGTTGTGAGCTGCCCTTTGGAGAAGCACATATGGCAGAGAACTAGGAGAGGCTTCAAGATAATCAGCTAGCACTGAACTAAGCTTCTCAATCCAACCCCACAAGAAACTAAACCACTCCAACAACCATGTAAGTGAATGGAAGCAGATCCTCCCTCAGTTGTCTTCAGATAACACGGCAGCCAGCAGATAGCTTAACAGCTTAACTGCTTAACTGCAACCCCATGAGATACCTTAAGCTTATCTAAGCTGTGCTGTGATATATGACCCACAGAAGCTGTGAAATAAGCCACTGATGTGAAATCAGAAAACAGTAGACAATTAATACAATCCTCCTTGACCTCATCCTCAGTCCCCAGTATCCACTGATCTGGGTTCTTTCTTATAGTTTTGCCTGTTTGAGAACATCATGTGAAGAATTATACAGTATTCTGCCTTTTGAGTCTGGTTTCTTTCACTTAGCATTATCCATCAAAGATTGTCCATTTTGCTGTGTTTATCAGTAGTTTGTTGCCTTTTTTGCTGAGTAGTATTCCATTTGTATGGATGTACCACAGTTTCTGTTTTGATTTTTAGTATTTGAGGAATATTCAGTATTTGAAGAACATTTCAGTTGTTTCCAGTATTTGGCAATTATAAATAAAGCATCTATAAACTTTCTGTGATAGTTTTCATGTGAACATAAGTTTCATTTCGTTTGGGTAAATACCTAGGAGTGAGAGTACAGAACTATATGGAATATTTACATTTAGGTTGTTAAGAAACTGTCAAAGCACTTTCCAAAGTGAGCATGCCCTTTGTATTACCATCAGTAGTATCTGAGAGTTAAATTTGCTGTACATTTCTGACAGCACTTGACTTTATTAATTTCATAGCATTCTAATAGGTGTGTATTGTTATCACATTGAAATTTTAGTTTACTTTGTTGTAATAGCTAATGACAGTGATTACTTCTCCATGCACTTATTGGTCATTAATATGTCTTCTTTTAACAGTCTATTCAAAATTAGTTTAATTGGTTTGTTTTCTTATTATTGAGTTTTGAGATATCTTTATATATTCTGCATACAAACATTTTCTCCTAGTCTATGGCTTGACTTTTCATTTTTTGTGTCTCATGAAGAATGTTGTGTTTTAATTTTGATAGAATCAAATTTATATATTTCATGGTTTCAATAAAAGATATCTTTAGTGTATATAACAAAGAACAGAGATTGTTTCAAAGAAATTTTTCAGAATGATGAGAAATATGTAAGCTAACAGTAAATGCATAATTTAGAAGCTAACAGAGTCTATATGTATTATATGTTTAAATTTATTTATATCTAAATAACTCTCTTGTCTCATATCTTGTCACCTATGAAATAGAGAGAAATAATTCTTTAGATTAACCTGAGAGGTAAACACAAATCTACAAGGAAGTTTCACTGCTGTATGATAGCTATTTAATCTTCAATAGCAGACAGACAAGGAAATCTTGGGGCATCTGGAGGATGACAATATTGACTTCACTCATATTTTGGAAAACCTTCATGTTATGAAAGAAACAATGTTCAGGCATATTTGCAAAATGTTAGTGGTGTCTGGCACCAAGAAAGGCATGTTAGTAACACTTTGGGGAACATTTAGCATATTGTGTGGAGACTATGGCATATGAGAACTACAAAGAGACTTGTGAAATTACTTCAATTTTTTTTTATTTTATAAGTAATAAAA